TGGTCAATTGATCAAAATTTGGAGGCTTAGCAACTGGCTCATATTTAGGGGGGGTGGGGGGGGGCGGGGGGGGGGGGGGGTGTTTCACATAATCTGCTTTTGCAACCTTCTGTCAAGCAAAGTCAACGGAGAAGCCAGATTGCCTTAATGACCCTGTTCCTAAAATTACTCAAGTTGTCCCAATTGGAAAACATTAGATTGGAGCAATGTTTCTCAACTCTGCAACTTTAAGATGCGTGGACTTCAACTCCCAGAATCCCCCAGCCAACTTGTTCCATCAATTAATCATTCACATTCTCAGGAAATTCCTCCTTATTTCCAGGTTGGGTCTCCCTCGGCTGCATTTCCACCCATTATTTCTTGCCTTGCCATCTACATGCACAATCTGTCAAGCCTGAAATTGACATATGTGTAGCCATTTTAGTTAGGCCTAGTATATATTCTGTTTCTTACTTTCTCTTTGGCAGTCATGGGAGAAGGGTTTCGGGCTTGCCATATTCCAAAGGGGGAGGAGTGGAGACAGAGTTGTTTAGGCTAGGTGATTCTTCTTCCCGTGGGAAACCGAGCTGTCGGTAATTAGGCCCCTTGAGGTGGAGATTTATGACACCAAGCAACGTTGAATTACTTCTACTGGAGAATGTGACTTTTGGGGGTTGTTTCTAACTTCTAATATTGTGGGGTAATTCCGGGTTGTGTCAGATCCGGAATTACCACGGACTTTGCCAATTTGATGCTTTCCTAAATAAAATAAATTATCTTGGAAGATGGACTTTGCTCTTTTCTTTTTAAATGGATTTCATCACTTGGAAACCTGACACAATCAACATTGGACACAGATCTACACGCATGAGGTCCATACCTTGTTCACGTGCTCTGCCATCGTGTGATAATTCAACCCTGCTTTGGACTTGAACTGTTTTTTACAGTGCTGGCATTTCAAGGCATCCTGCAGCTAAAACAACGGAGAAAAATGCATATATTTCAGACAAAGAAATACGATTTACCTTCCATCAAACTACACTTAGCACTAATTGTGTGGGATATGCGATTATGCTGTGTGTCTATTTTTTGCTTATCCTCTTGTACGTTTTATAACCCAACTGTTCAGAGTTGTTCAAAATGGTAACAGTTTTATGATCCCCGCAAAACAAAATAAATACACCCACAGAGGATAAATACAGTTGAAAGACAGACCAAAATCAGGTGATGCAAATGTGTATAGGCAATCTCCAGCATATGACCATAATGGAGCCTGTCCATTGCAATCGTATGTTGTGACCGTCGTAAATCAGGTCAGTCACAAGATGGCATCTCAACAGGGCAAGAAAACAGAGGGGAAATTTAATATTGATTGGATTTAACCTCCATGGAATTGCCTGAAATCATCTTTCTTCAGCACAACCAATACAGGTAGTCCTTGGCTTATGGCCATTTGTTTCTTCAAAGTTGTGACGATACTGAAAAAAGAGACTTACAACCATTCCTTATGACTATTGTAGAGTCCCGGTGGTTGTGGGATCAAACAATGAATTTTACGGCCTATGACTACAATCGAGACCAAAATTTTGTTGCTAAGTGAGACAGTTGTTAAGCAGATTTTGCCTCAGTTTACAATTTGCCACGGCTGTTACGTGAATCACCGCAGTTGTCACACGGTTGTTAAGTGAATCTGGCTTCCCCATTGATTTTGCTTGCCAGAAGATCGCAAAAGGGGATCACATGACCTCAGGCATACTGCGACCGTCATAAATACGAGCCAGTTACTAAGCGGCCAAAAGTTGATCATGTGACCAGGGGATGCTGCAATGGTTATAAGTGTGAAAAATGGGAATAAGTCAATTTTTTTCAGTGATGTTGTAATTTGAACAGGCACTAAATGAACTGTTGTAATCAGTGAAACATCTTGCCTCCAGAAGTTGTAAATGCTCCAACACTGGAAGTTTTTAA